TTTGCCTTTCATAAAGTAAGGTTTAAATAGTACGCAAAAGTATTTCTCGTCCATGTTTCGAAATCTCGCGACTTCTAAGTTTCCAACGAACTCCCAACACAAAGAAATAAAACGATCTAGCTGAACTTGATGTGGGTTCTTCCAAGAGATGCAACTAACAGAAATATTCTATAGGCACCTATTGCCCCTCTCTCTGACTTTGCACGGACTTTTCGAACCTCCTCTTTATATGCTTCGTAGATTACGAGAAGGCATTCAACACTGTTCAACATGACAAGTTAACAGCTATACTGGACCGTATAGGCCTGGACGTACGGGACATTAGGATAACCGCCAACTTGTATTGGAATCACACAGGTGACATTAGAATTAACGGCCAGACATGTGAAGAAGTACTTATTATGAGAGGAGTCCGACAAGGCTGTGTGCTCTCCCCCTTCTGTTTAATTTATGTGCAGACATTTTTTTCAGAACAGCCGTGGAAGACAGAACAGAAGGTATAATTGTTAATGGAATATCGATCAACAATCTAAGATATGCGGACGACGCGGTCTTACTAGCAACAGATAAAGGTTATTTACAGGCACTTTGAGCCGCGGTTGCAGACCATAGCCGACAAATGGGTTTATAAATACAGATATTAGTATAATTAGAGAAGTGGTGGAGAATACAAAACTGCTAATATTTGGGCTGCTGGGTGAATAAAAATGGGACTTAATTCAGAAAATCGAAAGCAGGATAGAACAGGCCCGAATATCTTTCAAGAAAATGTAAAAAGTGTCTCGTTGTGTCATGTTGATGAAAAAATCTTGTCAAAATGCTCAAGATGATCTGCTCAAGAATATGCGCCAATGGTATGTAGTACACCACGAGACTCGTTAGGCAGGCTGCTGACAAAGTGAAGATTATGCGATTGATCGAGTCAGATGCTCAAATGTTCCCCATTCTCGGTTCTCTTATGTAGTGTGGAAGCTTGGATTCTCGAGGTGTATTGTGAGAAGAATTTGAGATGTGGACATATCGTAGGATGTTGAGACCAACGGGGAGGTTCTGAGAAGAATGAAGAAAGACCGCGAGATCCTTTTGGAAGTGAAAAAAAAACGAAAATTGAAGTATCTCGCCAACATCATGAGGGGTCCGAAATACAAGATCTTTCGACTTATAATCCAAGAAAGAATCGTACTGAAAAGACCGATT